TGTTTCTCGCCACAAGGAAACATACTCCTTGATATGAGAAGCTAAATGTCGGTTTGACCTCCCTATGTGGCTCAAACTGCAGCTACACAAATAGTCGTATAAACAGTGGGGTGTGAAAGACGTAGACTGTTTGTTCGTAGCCAAGGAGACTGGTAAGGCCTTGGTTTGCTGAATTATACATAGTTTTGCAGCGTTATGAGATCTGGATACAGCAGCTGTTATACATCTTTTTATTATTGCTGACCGGCAGTCATCCAGAAATGGGAGCTTTAAGTACACCATCTTCCTTGGTACCTGTATCCTTAGAGCGATGATACTGCTACACTACCTGATAAATTTTAGGGGGTGCCCGCCGGCCTGCAGGGTATCTGTAAGTGTGCTTAATTTTAGTGAAAGAGCGTTCGACCTAGGCCTGTCCTATATTGCACTAAGCAGAAGCGTTTGAAGTGCATACACTATACTGTCCAAGTAGACATTCTGTAAATGAATCTTTCTTTCGTGCCATTTGATCTTCGGAGAACTAGAATGCCAAGGAACAGGAGGCGGTTGTTTACTTTGTTCTCTCTAATCGGCTTGAGGTTCGGATTTGCTTGACTCAACTACAAGATTAGCGCGCTCCGGTCGTTTGAATTCTCAGAAACGACCAGGATGTCGTCTGCTCAACGTTTCTACGGTACTGGCCTTAAAAAGCTCTTATATAGTGCAGATTCTATCTTAGCCATGAAAAAATCAGTTAGGAATGGACCCAGGGAAGTACCCATTGAAACACACTTCACTTGCAGGAAAGTAAATATTGGGAAGGCAGATTTGGCACTGGGTGTACAAGAGTAATAATGAATTAGTTCGGACACTGAAATAGGCAAAAGACCATTGTTGCTAGGAATAAAACTGCGAATGTTATCACCAGTTTCACGCAACGAAATAACAGTGAATAGGGACGTCACATCGAATGAACACATCAGTTTATCCCGAACATGTAAACCGTCAACACAATTCAATTTCAAAGCTGTCTTTCAGACTGTGCTTACTGAAACGCTTTCTCACTGGTTAAAGTAAATCCGTTAGCCAACGGGCTAACTTATGCTGTAGTGCGTTGAACACTGAAACAGTGGGTCTAAGTGGGCTTGTGGGTTTTGAGCAATACATACGTATGTTGGTTTCAACAACTTGTACTGATCGGCAGAAATTACGCTATTTATCCTCAGTTGTTCTAGCCTGCGATTGATTCTCTTTCCCAATTCGTGGACGTTATCAAAAATGTCGCCCGGCAAAAACCCTGAGTGTCACTGAGAATTTCAAACATTTTTTTCATATGTTCCGTTTTATCCGTCAACACAATTCTTGAGCCTTTGTCCAGACTTAACACCATTAAGTTCTCATCTTATTTTGTTTTCCTCAAACTTTGAAAATATGCCAGTGTTAATATAGTGTGACGCTTTTGTTTGTAGTTCCGGTGTTGGTAGGCGACATTCATTAGTTTTACCTTCAGCTAATTTTGATTGTCCTCGAACGTTAACGAATGCTGTTAAAGTTGATCGTAAAGATCTCCGAACTGCTCATATAGCTCACGTTCTTCAATTTTCGTTGGTGATGTGGCAAACTCCAATGCTAAAGAGAAAGAATTCATCTGAGTCCATGTTATAGTTTATGACGACACATTGGTAACATATCTATCTAATTCTATCCCCAAATCTGGTTCACATACGAAGGTGGTTCGTTAGGTGGCATTTCTGTGAACCAATATTCATGAATTAACATTGGTGTGCATTGGACAGTGAGTTGCTATCTATGAATCGCTGACCAAAACAACTGAGGACGTCCTGCAAAATTTATGAATTTACAGTGGACCGGATATTTGCCACCGGTATACAGCAGCGTCGGCGATCTGACAGTGCTTCGAAACTCAAGAACATATGGTTCTGGTAAACGTCATTGTTGGTAAAAACAAAAAAAATCATTTTGGTGACTGCCACATTTACTATGACGTCGAACCGACTAGGTAGCCACGTTCATACCCAAGGGGGTATCACGGAAACGGTGGTTGTGGATTTTCCGCAGCGAGACGGATTGGTAAGTATTCGCAAACTTATAAAAGATATATATTGTGTCTCAGAATTCGTTAACTTGAATTGCTTCTGCTACTTCAAACAGGCGATGAAATTATTTTTAACTGGCAAACGCGGGTGGTTCGTCAAAGTTTTGACTGCATGGCCTACCAAAAACACACAAAGACGAAACACCACTCAGAAGGATTTTATCCGTGAAATGTTCCCACGACACGAGCTGGCTTGACGCTTGACACAAGCTCCGAGATTTCAGAGTGTGCATTTTAATTTTTGTGCAACTTTTCCGAAACGTACAAACTCAGAAGAGGTAGATGCCTGGTCTCTAGAACGAAGAAGTATTTACCGACCTGAATTCAAAGTGCCCTTGTAGCCTAGCTCAATCACCATAAACTTCCAGTGTGCTGGAATCTGCCAGTTACCATTTTTCTCTTTCCAATTTTTCAATAAAAATTGCATTAAAGGACAATCTTTTATTCATTAGTCATGGCTGAAAAGTATGATGTCGCTTCGAGTACATCCACTGAGCGCAGCAATGCTCAGAATGAGACATCAGTGTCTTATTCACTGCGCCCTCGGGCTAGGCAAGCCCCTCACTGCCAAGTGAACCAGACTTTTGAACCATTGGCTCGGGGTGGGGTCCCCCAACAAAACCCCCATATCCTGTTGTCTCGTAGGTCAGACTTCTGAGTCAGAGACTCGGGGTGGGGTCCC